TGTTTGCGTGTGGAGAGAGAGAGAGAAAAACAAAACAAAGAGAGAGACAGAGAGAGAGAGAGACAGAGAGAGAGAGAGAGAGAGAGAGAGAGAGAGAGATCAGCATCAAAGATCAGAGCTTTGGTTCAAGCTATGTAAACAAGGTAACGAAACTTATTTCTTGAAAAAAAAAATACATAAAAACTGAAAACAAAATTCTTCCCCAAAACCAAGGCAAGTTAAAAAGGAATTAAAAGAAAAGAAAGGGCTTCTGTTTACATTTTTACGACATGATATATATATAAAAGATGCCAGAAAATATAAAAATATACTGGCTCTAAAACTGGGAGTCTATATAATGTACCATATGGCATAAGAAATAAGAAAAAGCCAAAACAAATGACATGAAGCGACTGGAGGTGTTAGACCCAGATTGTTAGGTTTGATAAGACGACGCCGAAATAATTATGATCTACGAGTACATTTTGTCGTCTATAGTAACGAAACGTCCGTGGGTTCACGAAAAAGGTCACGTGATGGATCAAAATCATGATCTTCACCTTTAGAGTCGCTTACGGATCTTTTTCTTCTTCAAGTTCTGCACCCGGGACAAACATTAGTCATCACAGGTCACCACCTATATCTCTGCTCGGAGGCTCTCAAGAAAATTACAGTATTTAACAATTTCTTTTCCGCCACATAATTATGTTTTCAAGTTCTCTTAGCTTGGTCTACCTCTGCCGTTTACCCTCTAGTCTATTTTTCACAGTGAGAGCAAAATGTACAAGACCTTTATGCCTAGCCAAGTCTACTTTTACTCTATGTCCAAGTCTACTTTTACTCTGTGTTCAAGTCTACTTTTACTCTGTGTTCAAGTCTACTTTTACTCTATGTCCAAGTCTACTTTTACTCTGTGTTCAAGTCTACTTTTACTCTGTGTTCAAGTCTACTTTTACTCTGTGTTCAAGTCTACTTTTACTCTGTGTTCAAGTCTACTTTTACTCTGTGTTCAAGTCTACTTTTACTCCATGTTCAAGTCTACTTTTACTCTGTGTTCAAGTCTACTTTCACTCTGTGTTCAAGTCTACTTTTACTCTGTGTTCAAGTCTACTTTTACTCTGTGTCCAAGGACGGCGCGAGACAGCTCCGGAATCAGAGCCGGAAGTCAGGCACAGACAGTCCGACACTCTGCTGGGCTCTCTCCACTGTGTATGGGGCAACTGAAACAACAGCAACGACAATTATTGGAAATGTGAACGTTTTATGCACTCATCAACACAATTTACGGTATTTCGTCGGGTGGTTGCTTCGAACCTGCTTGACATGACGTCCAAAGTGAATTAGAAACGATTGACAGACAGACAGACAGAGAGACAGACAGGCAGACAGAGAGACAGACAAGAACAACACATAGAAAGTAAAGACGTAGGACCTACCAGTGGCGCCCTCCAACGCGTAACAGGCGTCAAATGCATGGAACTACAGAGTCCAGTCATTTATAACAGCCTCTGTTATTACAGGAACTTGGATATAACAGAGATGAATCAAATCCCTTTTTTCTCTATAAGTGTAAGTAACATAAACCTGGCTATAACAGGGTTCAGTTTGCACAGACTCGGATATAACAGTGATCTTGCAGCGCATGAACTTGCTTTCAATCCGTCAAATTATTAAAAATGTGTCTCAACCAAGACATTTCGCATGTTTGTATGATCGCTTGCCTAAACACAAAATTTCAAACACATATCCCCCCCCCCCTCCAAATAGTGTTGGGGTCACTAATCGATTCCGTCTCCGAGTCAGCAAAACAGCCCACTAGAAAAGGACCTGCGGTAATTGAATCTGGAGGTTTCCCTTGACAACGGTTATAACAGGACTCGCTTATAATAGGGAATAACTGCCGGTCCCGTCTGTCCTGTAATATCCGAGTTTGACAGTATTATTGAAGATGGGTTTGTCCAAACTTTCCGCAGTGAGCACTGTGCATTATTGAGCTTACCTGTGTCCACGAAGTCGTCGGCATCAAACAGATCTTTACGTGCAGACTGAACGGCAAGTTTATTGGCAAACAATGCCCCAACAGACAGCGAAATGGGAGGCTCGCCAGTAGCTGAGAACAACAAAAAATACAGTTTTTTTAAAAATCAACACCCCTGACATGTTGTAATATTTTTTAACGAACAAAAAACAATTGTGTAGTGACTCTCCGAACATTCAATTAACTCACAACACAGCAGCTGACATGATCATGACTTCGCACGGACCTGCGAAGTTCTTAACTGAAAAACACCACCTGACCCGACTGTCCTGCACGGCCAGTCGAGTGGAAAACTCCGGTGAGTAAAGACCTACCACATTGGTGACCCTGACAAGTTGAAACGCAATTTCAACTTGGTGTGTTCTGTCTTGGATTATATTTTGAATCATATTTGAGCGGACTAGCGTTTTCGTCACAACCCTTACCATCCCCTTCAAAATGTGTGAACAGGATCGTCAAGTAAGTGCAGTTTCTATTAAACTACCAACATTTTGGACAGCCGGGCCGGAAGCTTGGTTCGCCCAAACTGAAGCGCAATTCGCTCTTCGAAATATTACCCAAGACGCCGCCCTCGACAACAGCACAGCAACTCGAGCACTTTCAATATGAACCAACCCACCAGAAGACAACAAATACAGCACGCTGAAAACATTTTTGTTGTCGGTATATAGTTTGTCTG